CCAAATCTACTGCTAGGGCTGACAATAAGATGTTTTTTCTAGGCCCTGTAGAGTCTATCAATTCTTTCTCTCCTGGAGGGTAAAGGTAAAGGTACCCCTGCCCGTACGGGCCAGTCTTGACAGACTCTAGGGTTGTGTGCCCATCTCACTTAAGAGGCCGGGGGCCAGCGCTGTCCGGAGACACTTCCGGGTCACGTGGCCAGCGTGATAAGCTGCATCTGGTGAGCCAGAGCCGCACACGGAAACGCCGTTTACCTTCCCGCCAGTAAGCGGTCCCTATTTATCTACTTGCACCCGAAGGTGCTTTCGAACTGCTAGGTTGGCAGGTGCTGGGACCGAGTGACAGGAGCGCACCCCGCCGCGGGGATTCGAACCGCCGACCTTTCGATCGGCAAGTCCTAGGCACTGAGGCTTTAACCCACAGCGCCACCCACGTCCATTTCTCTCCTGTAGATCCTATCAATTATTTTTTAAGCATATGCAAGCACCTTAATTCCAAGTTGTTAAAAATTCACAAGGCACTACCGTATGGGAGTTTACAGTCCCTTCATCCACAGTTTGCCTGGACACGAATATGAAAAAAACCCACAATACATTTCCCGCAATTTTAAAAGCGTAGCTGAAGACCCTAGTTAAAATACAATAAAACACTTTTAGCACCAGCAATTCAAATACCGATTGCCCCAAATACCAGCTCCCAGTGGTCAATATTGTCTGGCTTGCCAGAACAGGGAGGTCTGAGCCTACCAGAGGAAAGGCAACGAGGAGGGAGCCTGTCCAATTTCTCTTGAGAGGGAATTCCACAATCTGGGGGCAGCCGCAGAAAAGGCTCTCCCTCATGTCACCACCACTTGTGCCTCTGATGCTGATGGGATTGAGAGACCGTATTCGCCTGAAGAATGTGAGGGGAAGCTCCAGGGAGACCAGGGATTTCCCTCATCACAGCAGAGGGTGGAGCCTGCATCCTGCTGCGCTGGGCCACTTATTTATTTCAACGCTCTCAAGTCCTTGTAACTGATCTCCAGAGCCAGGACAGATGCCCTCTTTCACAAACAGATCCTTCATGCCTGTCGTGGTGCCAAGCCGAAGGGCTTTTGTTGGAAGTTTGGGTGCAACTCAGCTTGCCGAAGAGGGCTTTACATGGGGTTAAGGCAGATAGCGCGAGGCCCTTCCACATTCCCAGACTATCCCTGTACCTTTAACCTATCAGCTTACTTCTCTTATCTCTTTCTTGTTTGGCCTGATACGTCTCAGGTTGCATCCTGTTTACAACTTCCTCCTCCTTCTCCTCACACTTCTCTCTCTCAGACCTCTGGATGAGAGGTCATCTTCATACTATCCTCTGAGAACAAAGGGAGCAAGCATGGCTGCCTTGTTCCTCTCTAGACTAGTTAGTGGGACTAGAACTGGAAACATTTCTGTCCAAGTTCAGCATCTTTCCTGCAATAAACAACTTTATTATTTTCTTCCCTACCAGCATCTCTCGATGTGCAAAAAGTAAAGGCCATTCTCTAACCAGATTCACTGGCCCAATGCATGCTAAGGGCTTCAACAAAGGCTGGTTATCTCTATACAATGGTACCTCTGGTTACGTACTTAATTCGTTCTGGAGGTCCGTTCTGAACCTGAAACTGTTCTTAACCTGAAGCACCACTTTAGCTAATGGGGCCTCCCGCTGCTGCCGCGCCACCGGAGCACAATTTCTGTTCTCATCCTGAAGCAAAGTTCTTAACCCGAGGTACTATTTCTGGGTTAGCGGAGTCTGTAACCTGAAGCGTATGTAACCTGAAGTGTATGTAACCGAAGGTACCACTGTAGTTTTCTTATTGGAAAAATACCCAAGTAGGCAGCCTGTCGGGCCCCTAAACAGCATGCTCAGAGCCCACAGAACACTGAGTATCTGTTGGGGAAGAGAAGGGAAATGGGGAGTTGGAGATGAGGAGAGGGTGTAGGATGAAATATATTGGAAGAAGGAATGACCGGCTAGACGCTGGAACAGAAACTCCACATTGCAATAATTGTTGCAGCTCCACTCTAGATGGCAATGCAAGGACCTTGCTCAAGAACTTGTGCAAGATTCGGACTCATAATTTTTCACACAGCATCCAAAAGAGCTTTTTCTGTGGGCAGAAAATGCTTTTCTACCAGGGCGGGACCTTTTGATTCAAGCCACGGGCCTAGTCACCAACCAGTGCTATGGCAGGAATGGGGGCCACCAGATACAGTCCTGGTGATCCCCTCCTCTCTCTCTCTCTCTCTCTCTCTCTCTCTCTCTCTCTCTCACACACACACACACACACACACACACTACATGCATGCATTCCTAGTTGTGTGAAAAGAACTCAAGTCTTTCAGAAACTGTGAGAAGGAGGCCCAAACCCTGAATCTGGGTCAGGACCTGGCGACTCTACCTGCCATTACGGCATTTAGCAAATTAGGAGAAATGCCATTGCGTGAAGACCTCGCCGTGGCTGAAAGCAGAGGTGGGAGTGCGTAATGTGATTCAGAAAAGGGCGAAGGGCCCTGAGGTTGTGGCCAGGGATGGTGGAGAGATTGGATTCAACACACAAACCCATCAAATCTGCACTTTCCAAAGCAATATGTCCACCGAAACACAGCTAAGCCTTTGACATTCGCCCTGCTCTGAATTTTGTGAGGCAGTTCTCCAACTGAACCATGTTTACAAAGATGCATACACTGGGGGGAAGCGTGCATAAAAATGTAAACATTAGTGAAAATAACATACAGAAATGCGTTGTGGCAGGGAAGATTGCTTGCAAAGTAAGTCAAAAGTGCATATAAAAATGTGATTATTAGGAATAATTCGTACTAAAACCAATGCATTTTCAAGAGGTATTTTAAAAAAACAAAGAAAGAAAATCAGTAAATAGCTGCAAAATGTGGAGAACTGAATTTAAGGCTGGAAAAATGAGAAAGTGAGTAAACTGAAATCCAAGAAGGCAGATCCTTCCATCCCTAGTTTTGGCCTTTAGGTGTTCTGATCGAATTGTTAAGACAAGTGCTGCTGAAGGGCCAAAGAGCAGGAGGACAGCCAAAGGGACTCTCCTTTTCTCAAAATCCAGGAAGACGCAGTGGGAAGGTGCCAGTGCTGGATGACTCAATAGGCCATTCTAGGCTAATAATAATAATTTATTATTTATACCCCGCCCACCTGGCTGGGTTTCCCCAGCCACTCTGGCCGGCTCCCAACAAGAACACCAATGACAATAATAAAAAAGCAACAACATTTTTACTCCTTCCATCCTGTGTAGGTTAGAACAATCCAGCAGGTGCGTGACAAAAATATTATACACCAGATACTGTCCAAAATCATTCCACTCCTTTTAAAAAGTTCATATTTCATTGGCCAGTTCTTCAGTTTCTGCAGATATATCTCCATTAATCTCCATTTAAGCACATGCTTAAAGCACCTTCAATGAAAGAGTGCACACACACAAAATGAGATTTTTTTATATTTTTAAAAAAATGTGATTTATTTATTTTTTTAAAAAAAGAAAAGTCTTGAGCAGTCATCATGGGGAATATCAGAACTTTGTTAGATTTTTTTACACTCCACACTTTCCCCCTGTCTTCCATTCTCTTTTTCAATTACTTATCCCCACTTAAACCAGGGGGACATCCTACTAACGTAGATGGAAATAATGCGAGGACATCAGGTCCTGTCATGTGCTACAATTAATCTATGCTTCATTGTTATTTTAATTTTTTTATTTTATACGGTTAACTATTGTTCTTACTTTGAATTGCACCTGGGGGATCCATCACCTTCTCTGTGCTTAGGGCCTCTAAAGGTCTCCATGCGGCCCTGGTAGGCGCCCATATGAAACTTAACATAGGACTGCAGCAAAGAGTCTTAAACAGAGGGTGAATTGTTTTGCCTTTGGAGGCTCGGCTGAGCATTCATTGACTATAACGAGGGCAGCAAAGTTCTTTTCTAGCCGAGACGGCATTATCCCCTCATGTAAAAACATCAGGGAAAGAAACCTCAGCCAAGCAGATACAATTCAGTTGATGTTGTGTGAGCAAGGGTTTCTGCCTATTATGGGAATGTTTCAGGATAGAGCTTTTGCCATTTCGCCTTTGCCAGTAAGGTCATTTTAGCAAGTGGTTTCTCTGGGAACATCTGCAAACTTGTATCTGTGTTCAGGCTTGAACCTTATACAGTGGTACCTCGGGTTACAGACGCTTCAGGTTACAGACGCTTCAGGTTACAGACTCCTCTAACCCAGAAATAGTACCTCGGGTTAAGAACTTTGCTTCAGGATGAGAACAGATATCGCACGACGGCAGCAGGAGACCCCATTAGCTAAAGTGGTACCTCAGGTTAAGAACAGTTTCAGGTTAAGAACGGACCTCCAGAATGAATAAAGTTCTTAACCCGAGGTACCACTGTATGAGCAACTGGAGGTTTAGCACTCAGCTCAGCTTAAATGAATGTGAAAAATAACTTTAAACATGGCAGATCAGACAAACTTTAGGGGTTATATCCAATTTCGCCCTGCCTACTCAGAGTAGACCCACTGAAATCAATTGTCATGACTGACATTATCTCATACCCTCCAACATTTCTCTGACGAAAATAGGGACGTCCTATGGAAAAGCAGGACATTCTGGAACCAAATCAGAAACTGGGACGGCTTCTGTAAATGCGGGACTCTCCCTGGAAAATAGGGACATTTGAGGGGGTCTGAATTTGCATGTGTCTGCTCTAAGGTCCACAGGTTTCACTTTTGCTGGTCCTTATATCTTGCCTGAGTATAGTGAATGTGTGTGTCATTCTAAATTACCAGCTATGACTCACCGCACATGGGGGTGCATCTTAGTGGACGGGTACTCATTTTGCTTGTTTGTTTTAAACATTAAAGGGGCTTTCAGGGCGAGGGAGATGAGATGGTTCTGATTGTGTGCCAATGGTGACCGCAACACAGTGGGGCTGGCATTTGAATAATAGAACATATGTCCCAATTACAGCTCAGGCCATGGCAATTTTGTATCCGTTCTGGCCCAACGACACCAAAACGCCCAAAGTGGATGACGGAAGCTCCCCGGAGATCAAGCTGTCCTTCCCATTCATCTTCTTCGGAGTCCCATATCGAACCATTTTTGTAAGTACAGGGCTGGGGCTGCGGAAGCCGCCGGACCCTATTATTCATTTTCCCCGCCATTAACGTCTGCATTTTAAACACAGCTTCCCTCCAGCATTTCAGGCCAGAGGAAGATTTATGGGATCCCTCCTGACAAGTTCTTAGATTTCATGAACTGATAGGTTTTATGATTAAGAAAGTCAGAGGTATATTTAATGGGCTAATGTTCGTGGGGCAGGGATATAAAAGGCAATAAATTGCCTTTTGCAGGTGATTAAACACCAGAGAGACGCGAGGGCCTTGACACGTCGGACATTATTCCTGTTGCATGACACGCAACAAGCGTATGGAGGGAGCAACTGCAGGAAAATGAAGATTATTTATTTTGTTCCAGCTTCGGGGATCTTAAAAATTTTTTTGCATCTTTATTTGTTTTGTTTGTTTGTTTAGCAGACGAGCTGTTCGGCTGACTTAATCTCTCATGGTGGTGCTTGAAAAGACTAAAAAAAATTACCTCTTTAGTGCAGGATCAAGGGGTGAGCAAATACATGGGCAAAATGTGCAGAATGAGACCTCAGCTGTCTTACGCTGAGTCAGACCACTGGCCCATCCAACCCAGGATTCTGTACTCTGACCAGCAAGGAACTTCTCCGAGGTCTCAGACAAAGGACCTTTCCACCTCTGGGTTCCTTCTGGCTCCCCATCCTCTCTAGTTTCCTAGAGCAGTGTTCCAACTTTGGCAAAGGCACACTTGTTTCATGTCTCGAGCACACCACCATGCTGACCAGAAAGGTCATTATTATTAGGTAAAATAAAATCAAAAATGTACAGTAGAAGTAGAGACCGAGGAAATGGATTCAGTTACAATAGAATTGCTATGAAAGAACTTCTGCTGGTACGGCTTCAACAGGGATTCCTCCGGGAGTCCCTTCTGGAGTTTTAAGCAGAGTGGGATGTCTGCCATGCCATGGATGCTATCGGCTAGAGATTTCTGCACTCAGGGGTTGTACAGACGGATAGCCTGGGATCCTTCAATCTCGATTCTATTAGGATCCCTTTTATAAAAGAGAGAACTTTAATGGCACGGCCATTATTTATTTCGGCTTCTCCCAACGGGGCCACGAAGGATCAGAAAAGCTGAAGAAGAGACCCTTCCTCAGAGGAGGCGGGAGACCACCGGACCCGCCGAGGAGGGGAATCCGGCCGCCTTTCCCTCCAGAGCTTCGCCTTTTGCCCCGGCCAAGTTGCGCCGAGGGCGCCTTGCGGGCTCTGCGTGGCTTCAGGCGGAGCCTAGGAGCCACTTCCCAGCCTGGAGGGCAGGCTGTGCGCGGACCCCGCCACTCTCGGGGCGCGACCCAGACCCGGCTGCCTTCCACGGCCAGCAGAGGTAGGCCGCCGGCTTCTAACCCGGCGGAACTGGGGCGTCCCGGGCGCAGCGCCCGCTCCCCGCTCCTCCCGCCCCGCCCCCTTCTCCCGGGTGCCCCCTCCCTCCTTTGTTCTCCGGAGCCCCGCCTCCCCCTCTGCCCCAGCTCGCCTATTGGCTCACGCAGCCGCCACTCAGGTGGGGGCCCGCTTTGGCCCCGCTCCCCGGCCGCCGAGAGAGAGTGGGAGCGTGCGGGGCGGGGCTGGGCGGCCGGGCGTCTCCTTCCCTGCGCTGCTTCGGCCGCGTCTGCAGCCGCCGCGGGACCAGGCGGGAGGCCAGTCATGCCCAGACACTGCCAGCCGCTCGGAAGGAGCCGTCGCTCCGCCGGGCAGCGCCTGCCTGCGCGCCCCTCGCTCCCTGCGCCGAGGATGGCGGGGGCGCCGGGCGCAAGGCAGCGCCGGGGCTGCTGGGCAAGCGGCAGATGCTGATGCAGTTTGGGGAATTCCTGTCACAGGGAGCAAGGCAGAAGCGGATGACGGGGCACGTTCCCCGGGGGAGCGGGGCCGGAGGATTAGCCCGACTCGCCTGCCTCCCTCCCACGGCACACTAGGCAACGTCCGGCGGCACACTAGTGTGCCGCGGAACACCGGTTGGGAAACACTGTCCTAGAGATCCTCAACCGATAGTTAGATGTGGTGTAGTCCCAAGGAGGCTCCAACAGTGAAGCAGAATTGTGCGGTGAAGCTCTTGATGGATGTTACCACTTGAGAAAGTGATGTGGGCAGAGGTAAATGTCTGGTTCAGGGCCATCTTACCCATAGGTGCTAGGGGTGTGGGGCACCCGGGCCCCGGTCTCTCAGGGGCTCCAGGCTGAGAGTTTGGGGCCAAGATTTGGAGTCCGGGGATTGGGAAGAGCCGACAGCCGCTGCCGAGCGGAGTAGAGCCCATCAGAGCACCACAGTTTTTCTGCTACGGGCGAGCGAGGAGCTGAGGCAGCCAGTCAACTCCACCCTCCTGCGCACCTGGGATTGGTGGGCTGTTGAGAGGCCTGCCCAGCGCACGCTGCTCACACAAGGCACCCGGCTTCTCTCAGCTGCCGCCACCGCCTCGGGCTTGACTGTTGTTGTGCTGGGCTCTGCTTGCCCATCCCAGGTGCCCAGCCCCGGCCTTGCTCTGCTGCTGCCGCCGCTGCCTCAAGCTCCTCTGTTGATGCTGGGGCGGCCGGTTAGCCATGTGCACCTCGCTGAGCTGCCCTAAACAAAGGTCAACAACTTTGGGGTTCCCCCCCTAAAAAAAGGTTGACAACTCTGGGCAACCTGGGAGGGCGGAGCCGGGCAGATCTTTGCACCCTGGCACCGTGTATGCTTAAGATGGCCTTGGTCTGGTTGTTTCCCCATGGGAAACTAACATCTAATGGAGCAGAAGACTGCAGGAGATGTGCAGGATAGGGCTGACTACGCACCATACATTAGAAGCATACGACTTCCCCAGAAGATAATTCCCACAAATCTCTTTAGACCAGTCTGCTTTGGTAAGTATTCTGTGAAAACGTGGTCATGATGAGAATGCAGAGTATGGAAATTTCCAGAAGGGTGGGGGGGTCACCTCTGGGTTTCATTTTCTGTGGGTTTTTGAACCTCAGTTCTATCCCAGCCTCAGGGTGAGATGAAGGCCACAGGGGAGCCTAGAAATATAGCCCTATTTACAACCCATAATTGCATAGCCCAGCCTCAACCTACGCAAGCATAATTTTAAGCTGACATTTCTGCCTCTCGCTGCCAAGCCTTCCACTGGCTTAAATCAAACCATTCCGCTTTCCCTCGCAGGTCAACAACAATGGCGTCGTTTCCTTTAATGTGCTGGTCAGCCAGTTCACGCCAGAGTCTTTCCCCCTGGCTGACGGGCGGGCTTTTATCGCTCCTTTCTGGGCAGACGTCCACAACGGCATCCGAGGGGAAGTCTATTACCGGGAGAGCACGGATCCTGATCTCCTCAAGAAGGTCTCCAAAGATATCCGGAAGTATTTCAAGAACCTGCCATCGTTCAACGCTGTGTCCATTTTTGTTGCTACTTGGGAAGAGGTCACCTTCTACGGAGGTAGCAGCACAACCCCGGTAAGGGTGGAACATTGACGGGGTGGGATGTACTAAAACCAAGTTTAGAATTATTTCACAGTGGAGGAACTTAGGAAGCTGCTTCATGCTGTGTCATGCTGAGTCATCTCACTCTGTACTGTCTACATTAACTGGCAGGGTTTCTCCAGGGTTTCAGGCAGGAGTCTATCCCAGCCCTTCCCCAGAGATGCCAGGGATTGAACCTGGCACCTTCTGTATGCCTACCACTATTTTGTCCAAGTGCATGTTCTGAGTAGGAGCCAACACTAAACTCCCAAAAGGAAGCCACTTCTGTATAGCAATAAGTACAAAATCTGCACATACCTGGTTATGTTTACTGATCTTACCTATGGGGAGCAGGAGTTTGTTGCATGATTGTACAGTAGGAATCGTGTGGGGGATGTAGAGGGGGCCGTGGCCCCAGGCTCACATATTTGAGAGGACACAATCAAGTGCCTCCATGACAGGCACAGCGCCCTGGCAGCTGAGATGCAGCGACAGGCAGGTTGGTCTAGCAGGCAGGTGGATGGAGGCAGCAGGCGATGAGCCTCTTGCAGGTAGGTTCCATTCACCCTCTCTGTGGGCTCTGTTTGTGCCCCCCAGCACACACCCCTACCTCAGCTGCCTAGTCCAGGGGGGCACAACACTTGTCCCGCCCCAGGTGCTGGCAACCTATGCTACACCACTGGTAGGAATTCACATTGTCTTCTCAGGACTTGCGCACAATGTCTATATACTTAGAAAACCTGTATGTGAGAAGAAGAAGAAGAGTTTGGATTTGATATCCCGCCTTTCACTCCCTTTTTAAGGAGTCTCAAAGCGGCTAACATTCTCATTTCCCTTCCTCCCTCACAAGAAACACTCTGTGAGGTGAGTGGGGCTGAGAGACTTCAGAGAAGTGTGACTAGCCCAAGGTCACCCAGCAGCTGCACATGGAGGAGCGGAGACGCGAACCCGGTTCACCAGATTACGTTTCTATCGCTCTTAACCACTACACCACACTGGCTCATTGGAAGTGATGGAACCATACATGGGTTTCATGTGCTAAACTCTAAAGCAGTAATTGAATGCAAAGCTGATAGTAAAGCTACAAGAGCACCCAGTTTGTGGCAAGATTTCTGCAGCAGAGGCAAGCCCCTTCTAGGCCAGAGACAGGGAACCTGTGGTTCTCCAGAGATGGTTGGACTCCAACTCACATCAGCCCCCGTCAACATGGCCAGTGATCTGGGACAATGAGAATCGGTCCAACAACATCTGCAGAACCATTATTTCTCCCACCTCTGTTTCAGTGCTTGGCATGTGGCGATTAATCTCATGACAATGTGCTGGGCCCTGGAAGTGTTACAAAGTCCAAAGTGGATCCATTTCGGATCTGCCTTGCATCCCGAACATCTGAAATGCATCGATGGTGTGTGCTTAAAATCCATGGTTTAAAAAGATGTCTGTAAGCAGAATTCAGTGGCAATTCCATTTGAAGTCCATTTTGAAAGGTCGCCGAGTGTTTGAAATGTCGATATCTTCCCTTGAGTTCTTCCCGGGACGGTGTTGTGTCCACAAGTTACTGGATGAGGCTCAGTGACACCAAGTTGGGGCATGAGTTTACCATGTCTGCTTGCTGTTTCTAGAGTTCTTTAGGCTATTAATTCTGTGCTTTTCCTTCTCCACAAGCCAGTTTCCAGATGCTCTGCTTAAGTTACTGCAGAAGTCTGGAGCTCAGCTTCTCAGCTTTGCTCATTTCGAGCCCATTAGCATTTTCACTTAGTGTGTCCCTGCTTTTAACAACTTGATAGTGGGTCTCTCTATTGAAGAGAGGCTTCATCTAAATTGTGGGCTCCAGAGTGGGAAAAGGGTAGGTGCTGTTGTCAGGGGCAGTACCTGAATGAAAATGCTGTTTGACCTTGTAAGCCCAGCCAGTCTCTCGAGTCGCCAGCTGGTCCCTAGTGGATATTTAATGGAACCAAGAGAGATCTTCCAGATACAGTATATAAATGAAGGTGTATATATCTATAGATATACATGTGTGTATATAGCCCACCTTCAGTGTCCCCTCTGCCACAATAAATTAATCTTTGGCTGCCATCCATCATCTTAAAGCCTGCCTTTTGGGAGAAGAAAATAGCCCCCCTCCCCATTAAAAAAAAATGTTTTGGCCCAAGCGACTGATCTGATTTCCAGAACTTTATGGCTTTTAAATGTAAGTAAGCACAGATGGAATTTCTCCTCTGTGATGTTAATCGGAGCAGGCGGGGAAGGAGGGCCATTTCAGAAATGAAGGTTGCTTGCTTGTGTGTCCAAAAGAATCTAACCGCCGCACAAAAATCCCAACAGGGTTCTTAAAAGCATAGAAGGGAAAAAATGAAAGAGAGCCATTTGCAACGCTATCACAACAAAAATCAAGCTCCAGTCAAAGAGGGGATTGATCGCAGTTGGCTGCAGTGCTCATTCATTGATTGCAGCTAATGCTGATATTATCAGGGGAGGGGGCACTGTTCCCCAGTTGCTAGTGCAGAGACCAGAACTACCCACGCATCTTACAGATGTTGAATATCTAATAAAGGTGGCATCATTGAATGGTGTGTTTATGGGTTGTATCCACTTAGCTTCAACTCAGAGTAGACCCACTGACATTAATAGATGTAAATTAGTCACGTCTATTAATGTCAATGGGTCTACTCTGAGTATAACTAGGATTTTATTTGATTTTCTTTCCGCTTTGTGTTTGCTTTTGGTTGGTGTATTTATTTATTTTTGTATTTGACTATTTTAAAGATTCAAATGATGCAGAGGGCATAGTTGATTGGCAATGTGTGTGTGTGTGTGTGTGTGTGTGAGAGAGAGAGAGAGAGAGAGAGAGAGAGAGAGAGAGATTTGGTCCAGTACTCAAACCTTGATAAAAGCGTCATGGGTGCCAGGACAAAATGTCTGCCATGGGCAACAGAAAGGGGGGGAATGCACTCTGTAACAGTGAGTTCCATCACAAAAAAGCATATATGAAAGGAATCTTGTTCTGCTGTCCTTGTTGTACAGTGGTACCTCAGGTTACGAATGCTTCTGGTTAAGAACGGACTTCTGGAATGAATTAAGTTCGTAACCCCAAGGTACCACTGTATCTTATGATGAACAGCATAATAGCAGCTCATTTAGAGATCATATGAATGATTATATCATTTCAGTCTGCTGAATCATTAGTCCATCTTGGTCCAGTATTGGACCATCAACCTATCTAGCCCAGAGGCGGCTGACCTATGTCCCTCTTGATGATATTGGATTTCAACTCCCATCATCTTTGCCTAGTGTCATGCTGACTGGGGATGATGGGAGTCCAACATTATTTGGAGGGCCACAGATTAGCCATACCTGATCTAGTTCATTTTTGTGCCTTGATAAGGTAATGGGCTGGATGAGGGCCAATAACTTGAAACTCAATCCACACCAGACAGAGGGTAGTTACTTTGAGTGGGCTGCTTACCTGCCCAGGTGAATGATGTGTCAACCTGTTCTGGAGAAGGTTGCATTCACTGTAAAGGTTCTTAGTTTGGAATTCTCAGTGATCCCTCTGTGTCATTAGAGACACAAGTGGCCTCTCTAGTTTGGGATGCCTTCTACTAGCTTGGGCTAATACACCAGCTGGGATCCCACCTTGCCTCCAGGATCTGTGTCCTGGTGATCTTCTGTTTAGATCGTCACACTGTGTTGCACCTGGGGCTACCTTTGGAAACAGCCTGGAAAATTCAGTCAAGGATATGGCTGTCAGATTCCTAACTGGGACATGTTATGTTGCAAACATATCACACCAACACTTTGCCATCTTCACTGGCTCACAGTCCAATTCAAAGGACTGGTGTTGACCTTTAAGGGCCTTCATGGCTTGGGACAATATCTGAAGGATCTCTTCCTCTTCTCCCATGTACCTACAAATACCTTGAGGTCTTTGTCAGAAAGCCTTCTAGAGGTGCCATCACTAGATGGGGAGTTGTGGGTGGCTGGTGCAGAGCATTCTGTTTGTTGAAGGTTCCCCAGTTGCAGAAGGCCCTCCTCACAGAGGACCATCTGCTGCTTCCTCTAATGTCCTTTTGGAAGCCAGTAAGGACCTTTCAAGGTGGCGCTGTGGGTTAAACCACAGAGCTTAGGACTTGCTCGGTCCCAGCTCCTGCCAACCTAGCAGTTTGAAAGCACATCAAAGTGCAAGTAGATAAATAGGTACCGCTCCGGCAGGAAGGTAAACGGCGTTTCCGTGCACTGCTCTGGTTCGCCAGAAGCGGCTTAGTCATGCTGGCCACATGACCCGGAAGCTGTACGCCGGCTCCCTTGGCCAATAAAGCGAGATGAGCGCCGCAACCCCAGAGTCGGCCACAACTGGACCTAATGGTCAGGGGTCCCTTTAAGGACCTTTCAAACCCCCACCCATCTTTCAAATCTTGTGACCTTTTCTATCTGTTCTAGCTCTTATGTTCTATTCTCCACTCTTTGATCCCAATAGTAATTTTGACTTTGATTTTTATGCCGCATTACATTTGATTGCACTACTGTGGGTATATATATATATACCCATATATATATATATATATATATGGGCATTTATCTCATAAGCCACTTATTTTATGTTGTTGAGTGGAACACACAAATATAATGCAAATATTGTGTGCTTGCTACTGTGATTAGCAAAGCATCTTTTTTATGAACGTGGCAAAATGTTTTGGCAGCTGATGGAAGTGGGAGGCAAAACATTTTTCCACACTAATAAAAAAAAATACTCTACTTTGTTAATCTCAGTAATTTATATACTATATTAGTGATTAACTGAATACTAAAATAGACCCAGAGCAAGCTTGCATGAGGTGCTGTTTGATGCTTCTGTTACCGCCTATAGTGAATAAATAAATAAATAAATATAGGAGGGGTTGAACCTGGGACCATCTACATACATAACAAACATACATATTGTTATTTGTATGCTGCCTTTCTACAGTTAAACCCATGCTCAAGGCAGCTTACAACAT